GAAGAAAGCCGGGTACGAAGAAGAGAGTGGATTGCAACTGAGTTGAAGAACGGCAACCGGCGGGGCAGAAAGCTCGACATCAGGAAACACCACCCGAACCATCGCGTCCATGCACACCGAACAAATAAAAAGAGCACGACTTCGCAATTCAGAATCCGGGCTTCCTTTGCTTCTTCATCAAAACTGAACACAAGAACAAGTATAGTTTTAGATCGCGAACGTTCTGCTTTCCGGTTTCTTGCAAACATTGGTGTGCTTCGAGATATTCAAAATTTGGCGGGTAAGAAAAACAAGCCATTCAATTTCAAGCTTTGCAGTCAAGGTCTGGTGTGACCGCGTCACAGGGACCACGCAAGCCAGCTGAGCGCCAGCGATAACAAGCCCAAAGTGGCTTGTTTCGGTGTGACCGGGGCCTTAAAGGGGAAGTGCATCGATTTTTCAAGTAGGGCTCAGATGAAAGACAATTGGATATCGGTTCCGATGGTATATCTCTCGCTTGCGTACGGCAAGGGAAACTTGCCATATTGCCGATTTCCTGATCCCGTTTCCATGGCGACTACAGGTGATGACGCACATTCTGCTTAGCTCCGTGAGAGAGAAGGTCGATCACTGCAGAATTGTGTCATTTTCAGTTGTCTTCTTGTATTCAGGAAGTGAAAGAAGTACTGTGTTCAATGCTGTTAGTGCCGTGAACTGTTTATTAGTAGTCCTCTCCGTTGTGTACTGGGACGTGACACCGACAGGGGAAAGCTGGAGTGCGGAGACGTTAGCTGGCAAGCGAAAATCGTGACGAACCAAGTGCTGAAATCTTGGTTGGGACAAATCAAACGTTCAGCATTTACCTCAACCAAGGACCATGCCGTTTGCTCTTTCCACTTCCTGAAGATGGATGCGCTGCCTGCTGGAGACTCTCCTATCTCTCGTAACATCTTCTGAAGCCAGGTGAGACGACGAGTAGTGGAGATTAGTGAACGAAATAATGTCGTATGTTTTGAAATTTTTGCTGAACATTTCTCAGGAGAGATGGCGAATACCAAGTATCTTCTCCTAGTCTAGAGAAACCATTTCGTAGGCTACATTCCGCCTAGGGAAATGGCTGGGGAGGACACACTTGGAGGAGAACGAAGTAAGTGATCTTGTTTATGTTGTTCTTTGGTATTGCAATCTTATGTTTGACGAACATACGGCATGGTGCATAGTTGGTCGTTGAGTGCCTGCATGTGCATGTATAAGTGTGTGCTGATAAACACCGTCCTATGCAAGAATCTGACACTCATGCTCTCTTTCTTTCTTGCAGTATGTGCGCACGTGTGTGTGTGTGTGCGAGTGTATGTGTGTGTGTGTGTGTGTGTGTGTGTGTGAGAGAGAGAGAGAGAGAGAGAGAGAGAGAGAGAGAGAGAGAGAGAGAGAGAGAGAGAGAGAGAGAGAGAGAGAGAGAGAGAGGGAGAGAGTGTGTGCAGGAGCAGCGTGGAGCATGCCAGTGTGATCGCTGTGGCCGTTGCTTTCTTAGCTGTGGCGTTCTTGCCCGTCACAAGTGTGTGGCTCAGCCCCCAACGGCAGTGGAGCCGTGTTGTGGTGAATACTGTGTGTCCCGCGACCGCTGCTTCCGTTCGGTCCAGGGCAGGAATAGACACCGCTGCTGAAGCTCTCCCCGGCCGTACGTCAGTCTCGTGGCAGATGACCCGAACTCTCATTTTGTGTGTGTGTGTGTCGTGTATGTATATGTATGTGTGTTGCTCCCTACGTAGACGGACAAACTCTTGTTTTTGTGTCCCGGGCGCCATGGGGCGGCGTTCTCCCATTCTCTCTCCACTGCCCCTCCGGGCCCACGTGGCTGTGACTCGACAGGGCAGGGCAAGTGTGTGTATGGCGCATGGTGTGTGCTGGCATGTCTGTATAAATATGTTGGACAGGAATTTGTTCACCCACAACGGTGACGGAAAACCATGCTAGGTGCTGCTGGAATGTATGGAGTCTGCGAGCAGTTACAATAACTTACGTCATGTCACAACAAAGAACGGTGCAGTGTTTGACCCTCATGTAAACATGATGCTGATTGATGGTGATGGTACCTCACCTAAGCTACCCATGAAGCTAGAAAGAACATCAGGTCAACAAAATTGTACCAGAGGAAAGCATCTATTGCCCGAACTTCTTCATATGAAATGAACAATACCCTTCTCCATAGAGACAACATGCAGATGAAGTGTATGGACAAATAATATAATTATAAATAGGCCATTCACTGAGGGCATGGAATGATCTCTACGTGTAGATTGGATAGACACATGCACGTCTGCAAGGAAAGCATTTGTTCATGGGTTAGTTCATGGGCTGATTGAGTTCACATGGACTAAGTTCATATAATGCCATCTCTCCTGAGCAGCAAAATTTCAAAACATACGACATTATTTCGTTCACTAATCTCCACTACTCGTCGTCTCACCTGGCTTCAGAAGATGTTACGAGAGATAGGAGAGTCTCCAGCAGGCAGCGCATCCATCTTCAGGAAATGGAAAGAGCAAACGGCATGGTCCTTGGTTGAGGTAAATGCTGAACGTTTGATTTGTCCCAACCAAGATTTCAGCACTTGGTTCGTCACGATTTTCGCTTGCCAGCTAACGTCTCCGCACTCCAGCTTTCCCCTGTCGGTGTCACGTCCCAGTACACAACGGAGAGGACTACTAATAAACAGTTCACGGCACTAACAGCATTGAACACAGTACTTCTTTCACTTCCTGAATACAAGAAGACAACTGAAAATGACACAATTCTGCAGTGATCGACCTTCTCTCTCACGGAGCTAAGCAGAATGTGCGTCATCACCTGTAGTCGCCATGGAAACGGGATCAGGAAATCGGCGATATGGCAAGTTTCCCTTGCCGTACGCAAGCGAGAGATATACCATCGGAACCGATATCCAATTGTCTTTCATCTGAGCCCTACTTGAAAAATCGATGCACTTCCCCTTTAAGCCTGGTTCACACTAGGCCGATTTTCCGGCCGACATGGACTCGTACGAAAAATCCTCAAGATCGGGGCGAAAATTGCGTAGTGTGAACGGTGTTGTCGTACAGGGTTCCGACAAATCTGCGACGATTTTCTTGTCGCACTAGTTTTCGGCCAAGTATCGACTGGTCGATATTTAGCCGAAAAGCCGGCCGAATTTTAGCGCTTGCGCGTGATGGAGCATGCACCGGACCAATCACTGTAGGCTTTTCACCATGACAGCGGAGAGCGTTGGTGCAGACCGTGAACCATGTGAACTGGCTGCACTGGATCGCTACTACAGTACTAGTACTAGTAGCACTGTACTAGACGCTAGCCCTTTCACACCTTTGCCGCTTTGGCTTTGTGGCTCGTGTAAAAACTATCTCATTTCCGCTGTCTAGCTAGCTAGCTAGCGTCTACTAGTACTACGGTCTAGTGGCAGTGCGGCTGTGTACCGCGTGTCCGTGTGTAACAGACAAGCCTACATGTACAACTAAAGTACAAACGAAATTGCCCACCTTTGTGTGTGAACAGCTAGTCCGACTCATCCGACACAGTCGGCAGACTCCGTGTCGGAGTCGGTGTCGGAGTATCGGCCGGAAAATCGGCCTAGTGTGAACCAGGCTTTAGCCTAAATCGAGGGACTCTCTGTCAAGAAAGGGTCTGCTCCCCACATCGGAGCTCGCGCTATTCCGCCGACTTTACTTGACACTTGACTGACTCACGACTGCCATCCAGAGCACACGAGAAGTCCATCTGGATGGCAGTCGTGAGTCAGTCAAGTGTCAAGTAAAGTCGGCGCGAGCTCCGGTGTAGGGAGCAAACCCTTTCTTACAAATCATCGCCGAAGTCGCAACCACTACTTCTCTGCGGCTTATGAAAAAGAAGCTGAGGAGAGAAATAAAATTAAAAATACATGTAGGAGATGAATGTGTTTTTGCCTCCCCTTCTTCAATGCCCTGATGAGGCCCAATAGGCGAAACATTGGCAAAGTTATTTATTTGGTGCAGCTGAGAGCCTGTTGCCGGAATGGCGGTGTTTTCAAGTGGAGATGAATGGGTGGTAGTAATAATATCACTACCACCCATTATAACACTAGCCAGTGCAGGCTAAATTTTATTTTTCAAGGAAACCCTTCGACAATGGTACCAATCGATTCAGCATGGCATTTTCATTCCTCCTGCAAAGTTTCAGCTGATTTGGAGTCATGACAAGGACGCTATGGCGATTTGAAGATCGAAAAACTTCACTTTTGTTTGTCAAGAAGAAAGACCATGATCGCACACAAATCATACAACCCGTGTGGCACAATGATTTTTGAACGAAGTTGATCCGCGGACCCCGTGCTTCGCGCATGCATGCATGCATACTGCATGCACACACACAGTACAGAGGCTTTTTTGAACGCGGATATGTAGTTCTTCGTCTTCTTCGAAATGTCTTCCAAATGCGTGGTGCTGGTGTTGTTCTCAGCTTCGTCAAGGCAGAATGCAGCTGCATGTGATGCTCCTGTGTGTTCATGCATGTTCTCTTTTCGCGTCTCGACATTGTAGCGTCCAGACTCAGCTCGACTGGAGAAGATTGAGCAGACTATGCTTTGATCCACATGGAAAATCGATGAAATTTGGTAATTATCGTCGGGCGCTAAAAAGCGCTGGGGAGCATGGGGCTAAAACTTCGTAGCAGTCATCCCTACCATGACAGGCATCGACTGGTATATGTTCCATTCTGTTCCCAACCACTACGGGTAGTCTGCGAAGCTTTCTTCTTCGCCGATTCTCGGACAGATCGTACGTCTTCGCACTGTATCTCTCGTCTCCCTCAACGGATCAAAACACGGTTTTCGCCAGGACGAACACAAACCCCCAGATTTCGCGGCGGCAACAACTTCGAGTAGGGAAAAGCTAGCAGCTAACCAGGAATCACCAAAAAACACGTGTAATACTCAGTGTGATTTGCGACAGCTGTCATTGTGCCGTCGCACCATGCGCCATTGCATGTACCATGCACGGGAATGGAACACGGATGAGTCGTTTTATTACGACAGCCTGCACTGGCTAATAACACTGTGCTCTATGACATCGCTACACTACGTGGAATGAAACCAGAGGGCTCATAAGGGGTGATAGCTAAAGTGTGTGCGGACAAGAGCGGTAAAACATTTTAGGCTGGATACAGTACGAATAGCAGCCGGGAGGGAGTTCCATGTGGCAGTGGTGACAAAGACTGTCCCTGCGGGAATTTGCGGAAAAAACTCTCGAAAACTTGCACAAGAAATTGCGGCAGAAAACAACAAAAATGCGACGAAAAGTGCGGAATGATGCAGAACTTGCCAGGAATTCGCGGAATTATTTGCAGAAAATTGCGGATTTGGGCCAAATCTCGAAATTTGTTGCATCGTTTATCTACTCCGAAGTAGTATGAGTCATACTGTGCAAGTAACCTACAGGATCATGGAAAGCACTGTGTGAAACACGTGAGATATAGTGCAGAAAACAACCAAAAACGTGGGAAATCGCGGATTTTGCTGAAAATCGCGGGTTTGGGCCAAAATCGCGAAATTTGTTGCATCCGTGGAATCGCGATTTCCTGGAGGGACAGCAAAGAGAAAGGTGGCACGGGTGTGTGTGTGTGTGCTGGCTCTAGCAGAGGGGAGTAGATGTTGGGGGCGCCTGGCGCTGTTTGATATTGTGTAGCCTAGGTCCTCCAGGGTCGTCATCTGGCTATTGGTCCGGCAGGCCCTTTGGCCTCAATTTCTAGTCTCTTGGCCTCGATCTGCTCCCGCTGCTTCTCCTCCATCTCCAGTTTCTCGGCCTCCTTCTTCTTTTGCAGCGCTCCAGCCACGTTCTTCTTGGGCTCATACTGGGCTAGGCTGTCGCTGTCTTTCCTAATCCAGTGCTCGATGAGATCCATTTCATACTTGCAGTTCTCGAACACCTCAGGATTGAAGTTTATGGACGACGAGGGTGCTTCTGCATCGCTACTTTCAGAGAAAAAGTTGAAGATCTTCCCGGGTATCGTCGACTTGCCTTGTTTGCTCCTTGCTACGCTCTGGAAGAGGTAAAAGGAAAGAGTTCGCATGTGCAGGAAGCAGCCGTGCGAAATTTGCACTTTGCTCTTCAGTTGGTCCTTCTGTTTGTTCATCTCGCTCTTCAGTTGGTCCTTCAGTTCGTTTTTCTCGCTCGTCAGCAGCGCTGTCTTGTCTCTGATTTTGATGTCGCACTCAAGCCCCTGTCTCTTGATCTCCGTGTCCACATAGAACTTGCACAGGACAGCGGAAAACGTTCCGACTAAGAGCACTGTTAGTACGACGGTCACACAGGCGGACGGACCTCCCCGATCCCCCTGAGGGTGGGCTTGCTGCGGGTGCCCACCTCGCTCACCTCGTCCGAACGCTTGCAGAGCCATCTTCCAAAGTTGAGTGGTTTGAAAGCGGTTGTGGAGCGACCTGTGGTCCACTGATTGACGGCAAGCAAGCCACTGCAGCGCTGGTGAAGATCTGGCAGTTGCCACAGCACTTGCTTCGATCGCTGCACTTTCCGAGCGAAGCCTGTGGCGAATGAGCGCCAGTCTTTTGAAGTAAAGTTTCTTCTAGAAAGTCTTTTCGTCCCTTTCGCAGCAAGCGAAAAGCCAGAGATAGGATTGCATGTACTTTCAAGTTAGTTTATACGTACAATCATAGGTCTTCAAGTACCGGTACATCATGGTACATGACTTGCGAGTCGGCTGCTTGTACGGATGCACTAGACCGTGCGAGTGCCCTGCACTAACACTTGTAACACTTATTCCGCGTCAAGTAACTACTTTAGTTTCGATGACCATGCCTATGCATATATGCCTACATGTATGGCTAGTATGGCTACTACGGCCCACTCGCGGGGAAAGTCTGAGTCGATTGTTGGAAGTAGAGGAGTCCTTTGCACTCACTCATTACGTATCTAATATTGACTGAGTACGAGGTCAATATAGGAAATAAAAGCCGAGTAAAAGACCGAGGCGAAGCCGAGGTCTTTTACGAGGTCTTTTATTTCCTATACTGACCAAGTACGAAGTCAATATTAGATTTATCACGACTATTCAAAGCCTGTGTTCAATCGCTAAAAAGGAGTCAAATATAAGCGGTCAATATACATGTAGCCCTAAGGAGTGAAATATGCAGGAATATTTGACTGCTTAGGTATGGCAAAAATCTATGTGAGTCAATACTATTTAAAGGGAGTGATAAGTATTAGTAATATTGACTGAGTACGAGGTCAAACAAGTACGAGGTCAATATGAAATAAAAGCCGAGTAAAAGACGGAGGCGAAGCCGAGGTCTTTTAGGCTGCAACCACACTAGGTACAAAACTGCGTAAACGCAACTTTTCTGCTTGTGTCGTCAAGGAAACGCGTACGAAACGCAAAACGTACTGCGTTTCGTTTCAGCAAACCGGGTACCCCTGTAGAAAGCAACTTTTCGCCTTTTCCTTGCGTTTCGCTCGGTTCTTCATACGGGTAGATGTTTCTTGTTGAGGCTTGCACTGTGTCCGTAGTAGACCGTGACGGCTTCCTTGTCAGTGCAGTTTGTAGTATTTGAGATTTCATCTGCCAGGGCTTTGCTTTCAGTATAATTTCCGGACAGTCCCGTTGCTTGCTGTTGTTAGTTCGAGATGCCGCGCAACTACATTGTATTTCGCTGATAATCTCGAATTGAGAAGCTCATGCAGCTTGGGGCAGCGTACCATGAAGACGAAGCAGGGCCAGATGACAGCCTGGAGCGGACAATCCGAGAGAAGGAGATGACCGAGGCCTTGAACGTGTATGTCAAGGCGCTCGCGACTCTTTTTCAAACTACTACTACTACATGTAGTACATACATTTTCACAGCGCTATTTTTTCTGGGACCCAGAAATGTAGACAAAACGCAAGGATTCCTTGCGCATGAAATGGCAGTGTGGATTCGACTTTGCGTTATCTAAAAGCTGAACGCAAACGCGTACTTGATTTTGTACATAGTGTGGTTGCAGCCTTACGAGGTCTTTCATTTCCGAAGACTTACAATTGTAGTTAAAGGGGAAGTTAAGGCAAAAATTAAAATTTCACCAGTTGTAGTCTTCGGGGTGCTGAGTCGAATGGTCTTGGTCCGAGAAAGCTGAGACGCTCCCTTCCTACTTGAATCCCAATCGAACTCGCGCACTTCCACCGAAACTGTGTGACTGCGCCCTACTAGATGGGGATTTGTATGCAAAATGTCACTAAAAGCGCCATTTCGTTCTTATAAAAGCACGGATGACCGCCATTGGCCCATATGTTGTAGTCTTTTGGACGCTGAGTCGACTGGTTTTGGTCCGAAAAGGCTGCGATGCAGCGTTCCTCCTTTATTCCCAATCGAACATGGTTGAAGAAGCGGTCACGTGGTCCTGAGTGCCCAAATCACCTGGTCACCACGCCAGCAGGCGACAACTTTCACACCAAGGTTCAACTCGAGTGACAGGACTGCACCCAAAAAAGGTCAAACAGGCTAGTAAGTTGTACCCTGCAGGCACGGTGACCAGGTGACTGGCGTACGCAGCAGCACGTGACCGCTTGTTCAACCATGTTCGATTGGGAATAAAGGAGGAACGCTGCATCGCAGCCTTTTCGGACCAAAACCAGTCGACTCAGCGTCCAAAAGACTACAACATATGGGCCAATCGCGGTCATCCGTGCTTTTATAAGAACGAAATGGCGCTTTTAGTGACATTTTGCATACCAATCCCCATCTCGTAGGGCGCAGTCACCCAGTTTCGGTGGAAGTGCGCGAGTTCGATTGGGATTCAAGTAGGAAGGGAGCGTCTCAGCTTCCTCGGACCACGACCATTCGACTCAGCACCCCGAAGACTACAACTGGTGAAATTTTAATTTTTGCCTTAACTTCCCCTTTAATATTAGATTTAGCACCAGCGGTTTACCGACCATTCACCGAATGACAATTCACCGAAAGACACTTACCGAAAGACACTTCACCGAAAGACAAATCATCGAATGGACAATCCACCGACTGGACAATTCACCGAAAGACACTTCACAGAAAGACATTTCACTGAATGGCTATATCACTGACAAGACAGCTCACCGAAATTCTACTGTAAATTGTAATGACTGGTTTGAAGTCAGGCTAACTTCACTGGCGCTCAGTTTCGCAGGGCTGAAATGCTCACACTGACGTACTGGCGCTGGTTGCACGTTATGTGGCAAATATAGTACATGTACAGTCAGTCGTCGCATAACCAGTGAGTGCATGTGTCGGGTTTGCGTGTAAAAATTACTACATTTCCACGGTCAAGTTGTGACCAAAATGGTAAGCACAAAAATTACAAAAATGGAAGAATAGCTCTGAAAAGCAGCGAGTTTTTACTGAATTAATCCCTTATTGCAATCATCACCACTGGTCCACTGGTATGAGTAAAACACTGTGTTAGCTGGTTGAAACATCAACAGTAAGGGTTCAATTTAGTACGTTTTGCGTGTAAAATATCAGACAATCAAAACCGTAACGATTAGCTGGATCTACCGCTTTTTGGTATAATCGTTTCAACCTGATTAAACATTACACGAACGTGTAAACATTACACATTGACTACAGTGCTGGTCAATGAAATCCGATAAAAAGCTCTGTGGTGGCGAGGTCTGACTGTATATCAACCAGCCTTCTATTGTCAAGCTTCCTTTGTACTTCGAGTTTTTTTTTTACTAGAGCCACGTTAAGAAGAGGCTAGCACAATGGAACCTGATTTTGTGGGAAAGACACAACGAGGCGGTATGAAGGTTGTTCACAACGGTTATGCCTATGTCAAGGATAAGTCTGGCAATGGAGGTGTCACTTACTGGAGATGCGAGGAAAAGGACGGACTGAGCTGCAAAGGAAGATTGAAAACGGATCAAGGGGCCGTTACAGCTGCTACCGGAACGCACTGCCACGCACCTGATGCCACAAGAAGAGACACTATAAGAATAAGGGACACCATCACAGAGCGAGCGGCAACAACACAAGAATCAACCCACACCATCGTGCAAGCAGCGGTAGGAGCCGTCTCGCAAGAAGCAGCGACTCAGCTTCCTTCTGTGCGTTAAAGCGGAAAGCCCAGCGAGAACGGGCGAAAGCACACAATGCCCCGCCCAATCCTGGGTCGCTCCAGGAAATCATTCTGCCTGATGCGTATACCATGACCTCCGGGGGAGACATGTTCCTGCTGCATGACAGTGGCGCGGAGACCGCACAGCAGAGGTTTCTAGTTTTCTCGACTTCAGATAATATTGATTTGCTGGTGAGACATGATAATTGGCACGCAGATGGGGCATTCAAAATGGTGCCGCTGTTGTTCCACCAGATCTACACAATATCAGTGCGCGTCGACTCCGTCGAGGGGTCCTTCCTTCCACTGGTTTACGCACTTTTGCCCAACAAGACGCAAGCGATCTATGAGGAGCTACTGCAGGTGCTAATTGGCCACACGGAGGCTTTGGAGCCAACCACCGTCGTTACCGACTTTGAATTGGCAGCTATCAAAGCCTTTAAGATGAAGTTTCCTGATGTAGTGACAAGAGGATGCTATTTTCACCTCTGCCAAAATATCTATCGGCATGTGCAGGCGTATGGCCTTCAAGAACGGTACGGCCAAAATCCTCAGTTCGCTGTGCAAATTCGGATGTTGGCGGCATTAGCGTTTGTGCCCACAGGCGATGTTGTACATTATTTCGAGCTACTGGAGGACTTTCTGCCAGATGAGGCGGGGGAAGTCGTTGCCTACTTTGAGCAATATTACATCGGAACTCTAAGAGGAAATGGACAACGACGGACGCCAATGTTCCCGATCCCCCTGTGGAACGTTTACGAACGCACCCTTGGTGGAGAGGACAGGACTAACAACGCTCATGAAGGATGGCACAGGAGATTCGCCTCAGTTGTTTCGTGCCATCACCCAACGATATGGAAAGTTATCGACGCATTTGTCCAGGAACAAAGCTCAACGGAACGGGAGGGCGAGAGGCTGGTGGCTGGCCACGGTGCAGCGAAAAGAAAGAAGAAATACGCAGACTGTGACAGAAGGCTGAGGACCCTACTTCACTCATTCGAGGCACGACCACCTCTGGAATTCCTCAGAGGAATTGCACACAACCTGACCTTCAACGCTGTGGAGTGATTAGCTGGAACTGCAACATTTTCGCTGCTTGTCTATTGTTCCTCATTGATCTGCTCACCTCTGTACACAAATGGAGACCGCCTCGATAGTTAATGGCCTCTGAGGAATCCTTGAAAAAATATTAAAAAATTCAAAATACTTCAACGTTGTGGAGTGATTGCCGCTTAACATTTTCGCTGCTTGTCTATTATTCTTCATTGATCTGCTCACCTCTGTACACAAATGGAGACCGCCTCGATAGGCTTTTAATGGCCTCTGGGGAATCCTTGAAATATATTTAAAAATTCAAAATTCTTCAACGTTGTGGAGTGATTGCAACATTTTCGCTGCTTGTCTATTGTTCTTCATTGATCTGCTCGCCTCTGTACACAAATGGAGACCGCCTCGATAGTTAATGGCCTCTGGGGAATCCTTGAAATATATTTAAAAATTCAAAATTCTCTCCGTCCTTCTTTGTTTTTTCTTTCTTTC